TTTTCACTGATCGCTTTGAATCACCCATGAACCTTTCAAATGGATACATCCACCTATATTGAACAGGTCCTCCTAGATAAGCCTCATATGCAAGATGCACAGGTAGATGTTCCATGGAGTCAAAAAAACCAGGCGGAAATACTTGTTCCAACTTACAGAGAATGACTGGAATATTTTGGTCCAACTTAATGATGTCATCCACTCTTAAAGCCGACGCATAAATATCTCTAAAAAATTGACTAATTTCAGTGAGTGGATTAAGCACATGTTTGAGTAGAGAACCGAACGCAATTGGTAGCAATTGTTCCATAAAAACATGGAAATCATGACTTTTCATACCATGCAACTTCCCAGTGTTAGCATCAGCACACCTTGCTAAATTTGAAGAATACTCGTCGGGCATTCTCAAACCTTTTAGCCATCCACAAACCGCTTTAGCTTCTTGGGGGGTCAGACTGAAACAAGCTTTGGGTTTAAATAATTTTCTATTTGGTTGAGGCTTCAATTCCAACTCTTTACGATTACACCAAATTTCCATGTCTTGTCTAGCCTTCACATTATCTTTTGTTCTGTCTTTAACATCCATCACTGTGTTAAATACGTTATCAAAAACATTCTTCTCAATATGCATAACATCAAGATTATGGCGTAACAAATTATCTTTCCAATACGTGAGGTCCCAAAATATACTTCTTTTTGTCCAATTATGTGTGACCCCATATCCTTCAATTCTACAAGCTTTGCCAGTATCGGTAAACTTTGGAAGTTCACAAACTTGGTTCCATATAGCAACTGGTGCCAATCGAGGCGGAGGCAAATCTGTTACCCGTTCGTCCTTTTTGAAATTTGTCTTGTTTTTTCTAAAGGGATGATTTGATGGTAGGAATCTGCGGTGACAGTCAAACCACGAGCTTTTCCCCCCCTTTTTCCAATGTAAACGCCTTAGTGCATTCCATGCAATGCAGACAACCCATTCGGCCATGCGTACCCCAACCAGACAACATGCCATATGCTGGAAAGTCGTTAATGGTCCACATTAAGGCAGCTCGCATATAAAAGTTTTGTTTACGGGATATATCATAAGCCCATTCTCCATTATTCCACAACCTCTTCAAATCATCAATTAAAGGTTGTAAGTACACATCAATTCCGGTTTTTGGACTCGACGGTCCTGGAATGACGCACGTCAAAAACATGTATGGTTTTGTTATGCACATCTCAGGAGGGAGATTGTAAGGGGTTACAATAACTGGCCAACAAGAATACGCACTTCCGGACGCTTGGACATATGGAGCAAAACCATCTGAGCATAATCCAAGCCTGACATTTCTAGGTTCCGCGGCAAAATCAGGATGTACCTCATCAAAGTGCTTCCATGCATGGCCGTCAGATGGGTGTCGCATATTGCCTGGGCTTGTTTTGTTTGTATGATGCCATGTCATTTGACTTGCACTGTGCATTGAAGAAAACATTATTTTTAACCTTGGTATTATCGGAAGATAAAACATGGACTTTACTGCTACACGTTTTTTGTTACTGTTAATGGCTCTATTGAGAACTTTATATCTTGGACTATGACAAAACTTACATTCCTCTGACGATCCATCTTGAGTACCAAACTCGTTGTCATAAAACAACATACAACCATTAATGCAACAATCAATCTTTCTTACTCTTAAACCCATCTTCGACACCAACTTCTTTGCATCATAGAAACTCGCAGGCAAGTTGTCTTTCGTTGCAGTTGAGTCCAACATCATTTTTGCGAAGTGCTCCAAACACTGATCAGGAACATTCCAATTTGACTTGGCGGCCAATAATCTCACACACATTGATAGCTTTGAGTCTGACGACCCCTCAAACAACGGCGTATTCATCTCATTCAACAACTGATAAAATCTCTGCGCTTCCTCATTCGGAAACTCTTCCCCGTCAAAGTCTTCAGGTTGATCATAGGTCACGTTAACACCAAAAGCATCACCAACCATGTCACCCATCAGATTAAAGTTTTCTTCAAATTCCATAGGTGGTTGCATAACCGGTTGACTACTTGAAGCATCTGTGTTGCTAGTCTCTGGTACATTACTCGGCAGTGTTTCACCGTGACACGTCCAAACCCAATAATTTTCAATGAAACCTTTCCTATGAAAATGACGTGTTATTTCCTCTGGGTCACTAATTATATATCTACATCCACATTTAAGACAAGGACACCTAACTCCTCATTCACTTCGACAACGTTCCTGAGCAAACGTCCACGCGATAAAACCATTAACTCCGTCTATAAAATTGGGTTTAAGTGCGCGTCTTCCTGGATATAGTCTATCGTACATCAAACTACGATAATACCTATAATATTCCATTTACTGCAAATTTATATAATCAAAATCTATTTAATTAGAAATATTAATTAATTAACTTAATAATAATCCTAAACATATACAATTAAAGATAAATATATGCTTTCAAAAAACATTTTATACTTTTTCTAATTCTAACTTATTAAGACAAAAAAATTTAATTTAAACACTTAAAATTTATAAACTCCTAAAAATATTTATTTATTTTTAAACACTTAAAATTTAATTTAAACACTTAAAATTTATAAACTCCTAAAAATTTAAAAACTTAAACTCCTAAAAATTTAATTTAAACACTTAAAATTTATAAACTCCTAAAAATATTTATTTATTTTTAAACACTTAAAATTTAATTTAAACACCTAAATTTTATAAACTCCTAAAAATTTAAAAACTTAAACTCCTAATAATTTAATTTAAACACTTAAAATTTATAAACTCCTAAAAATATTTATTTATTTTTAAACACTTAAAATTTAATTTAAACACCTAAATTTTATAAACTCCTAAAAATTTAAAAACTTATTAAACTCCTAAAAATTTAATTTAAACACTAAAAATTTATAAACTCCTAAAAATATTTATTTATTTTTAAACACTTAAAATTTAATTTAAACACCTAAATTTTATAAACTCCTAAAAATTTAAAAACTTAAACTCCTAAAATAATTAAACTCATTCATCACAAATTAATAATTAATAATTATTATAAACTAAATAATTAAACCTAAAATTTAACCCAAATTCAGAAAATATAACCCAAATTCAACCTAAAATTTTAACCCAATGCAAATTCAACCTAAAAATTAATCAAATTAAGAAAATATACTAAATTCAAAAAAAAAATTCAAGAAATACCTTTTATCTTGTAACTCCTTCAATCTTCTTGTCCCTTTTTGCAATCTATACTTCTATCAATCTTCTTCTATTCAAAGAAAAATTGAAAAAAAAATTATATTCAATAACACATAAAAAGCTGTTAACAAAATATAAACAAAATTGAATTGAAATCACCTTAAAACAATAATGTATGGAGATTGTAGGAATTTAATTTTGGAGAAGAACAAATTTTGGAGAAGAAAATGGTTATGGAGGGATATGGAAGGAGGAGGGTTGAAGAAGAAGAAAAACAAACTGTTAACGCTACTGTGTTTGTGGAGCGTTTTTGATAAAGTATATAAAGAATTTAGCGACGTGAAAATCACGCCGCAACGTTGCCACGTGATTTTCACGTCGCAACAATCCAACAGCTCTTTTCTCTTTCTTCAAAACCTGAACACGCCAGTGTTGGAAATTGTGATTCAATTATTTTTTATGATATTTTTATTAGCGACGTGCAGCCCACGTCGCAACATTTTTTAAAACAAAAAAAAAATTGACAAACTTAATGCTTCTTTATTATATTAGTAAAACATGTTGCCACGTGATTTTCACGTCGCAACTGACTTTATTTAGCCACATGAAAATCACGTGGCAAAATCACGTGGCTGGAGAGCCTTTATCTTGTAGTGAGCATTCACTTCCAGTTGTGATATTCCATCATTCAAGATTTCTACAACATCTTAAAATCTGAAGATAACCTTCATTTGTACCATCCATCGTTGATAGTTTTCACCTTTGAAAACTGGTAGATTTGCTGGAAATTGTGTTGATGTTTTTGATCCTTTTTTCATTAGATTCTCTCTGAATCGCAAACAAGCTCTTGATACTAATTTGTTGAAACAAAAGATTCAAGAAAGATGAATATTGTGAAAAATAAGTAGAAGAAGAAGAAGAGAGAGAGAGAGATAGAGAGAGAGAGAGAGTTGAGTTAGTTAAGTGTAACTAACTTTGAACTGAAATTAGTTATTATTGTTGCTTACTATTACAAACACAATGGTCTTTTATATAAATAAAATAGTCCAAACCCAAATACATACTAAAAAACTCAAATAAACACATAATAAGAATTAACCAACTAATAATAAAGTTGTGATTCTTCTCTCTCAAACTCTCTCTTCACATATGTTCTTTGTTCACCAACTATTTGATGAAAATTCTATAAAAATTTATTCTCATTATTGTCTTTTCCTCTTAACTGTTCTCAGTACTGTTTCAGTTTCATCATCATAGACCAATAAATGAATAGCCGACGTTGGCGATAAATATTATTATTTTTTACATCCATTCTTATACGATGGCCCCTGTTACTTATTTTGACTCAATATAGTATCCGTATTCTTATTAAATTCTTCTATCTATTAAAGTTATCGTATTTCCTACCAGTAAATATGTTGTCAATCATCAACATTAAGTCTATTTAACCATTTTTTTAATGTCTTTTCAACATACATTACATTTATGATTAATTATTAATATTATTATTATTATTAACATTAACGTGCTCTATGCTCTTTTTAAAGTCAAATTTCATTGAGCACAAACTTTGTTCATCACTACTTTGTCTTACTTGATTTGTGAATTGGTAGTATTCAAAAATGGCTACTACAATTCCATGCACGTGCTTGACTATTCAAAACTACGTGTCTATATAAACCACTTACTTCACTAATCTCAATCATCAAAACCTCTTTGCTAAATTCATATCTTGTATAGTTTTTAGCAAACATGGAAAACTATTTGATCCAATTGAGTCCAGAAATGAATGTTACAATAACCACAATGCTCTCCCTCATATTAATATACATTACTATGAACTTTTTTTCAATCCAAATTAGAAAATCCAAAAACTATATTCTCCCACCAGGTCCATCACCATTTGCAATCATGTCACATGTTTTTGAGCTAAGAAAAAATCCACAATACTGTCTAGCCAAATTTTCCACCATGCATGGTCCAATAATGCACTTAAAGCTAGGGCAAATATCGACCGTCGTAATTTCATCGGCCGATGCAGCACAAGAAGTGCTTCAAACTCATGATCTTTTATTCTCAAACCGAACGGTTCCTCAAGCTGTCGCGGTCCTCGATCACGAGATTTTTAGTTTACCATTTATGCCGGTTTGTGATCTTTGGAGAGACCTAAGAAAAATATGCAAAAATGAGTTGTTTTCTAGCCAAACACTTGATGCTAGCCATGCACTTAGGTGTAAGAAGTTACAAGAGATTTTAAGTGAGATTGATACAAGTAGCTTACTTGGTGAAGCTGTTGATATTGGAAGAGCTGGTTTTAAGACTACAATGAATTTTTTATCAAACACTTTTTTTTCAAAGGATTTTGCTAACTCTGCAGGTGAAACTGATGAGTATAAGAGTATTATTGAAAATCTTGTGAGTGCAATAGGAACACCCAATTTGGTTGATTTTTTTCCGGTTTTGAAAATGGTTGATCCACAAGGTATTAGAGGAGTTTCAGCAACTTATCTTGATAAGTTGTTGCAAATTATTGATTCTTATATCATCAAAAGATTGGAGTTAAGAGGAGGAGAAAATTATGTCAAATATGATGATATGTTGGATAATTTGCTAGATATCTCTCAACAGAATGACCAAAAGATGGATAACACTAAGATAAAACATTTGTTTCTTGTAATTTTCTTTTCATCCCTCTTTACTATTTTTTAATATTCTTTTCATTACTATTTTACTATTTAATTGTGTTTTTTAAACAATTTTTTAACTCTTATTTTTTTTTCTCACCTTTTTAACTATAGTTTTTTATTTTTTGCTTTTAAAAAACAATTTAAAAAAAAAATTAATTGTTATTTACTAGAAATGTTGAAAATTTTTACAAATACATTTTAGTATCTCACTATATAAATAGTTAGTTATCTATTTATAATAGAAAAAAGTGGATGTTTGAGTGAAATAGTTATGCATTTAAAGTTTACACAAATGGAATTTTGATTTTTTATCAAATTTTTAAGGATTTTACCAAGGATCATCTTGGGAGATTGAATAAAGAATAAATAAAATTCTTTTAGAATTTTTCACATTTTAGATAGTTTAAGTTCAAAAGCTGATGAAAATAGTCTTTAGCTAGAGACTTTACAAAAATTTAATTATTTTTTTGTTTGTTTAAGGAATAATATTTTATTCACATACATGAAAACTCATTATGAATATTTTATTATTATCAAAACAAGATATTTGCAGCAATTTAGGATTTAGGATGATATTATCATAACCACTTTGATTTTGTATTTATTTTTGATGTTATGATTGAAATTATATAATGAAATTCATTTTTTTATTATTAAATACTAATTTGTATTACATTTTGTGATTTTATAATAGGATTTATTTGTTGCGGGAACTGATACAACTTCCTATACAATAGAGAAAGCAATGACAGAATTAATTCACAATTCACATGCGATGTTAAAGGTTAAAAAAGAGCTTGAGCAAATAATCGGCATAGGAAAAACTGTACAAGAATCTGACATTGTCAAACTTCCATATTTGCAAGCAATAGTAAAAGAAACATTACGCCTGCATCCATCAGCTCCGCTTTTATTACCAAGGAAAGCTAAGATTGATGTTCAAATTCAAGGTTATACAATTCCACAAGGCGCACAAGTCCTAATTAACAAATGGGCCATGGCGAGAGACTCAAAAATTTGGGCTGATGCAAACTCGTTTTCACCTGAAAGATTTTTGGGCTCTGAAATAAATTACAGAGGCCAAAACTTTCAGTTGACACCATTTGGAAGTGGAAGAAGAATATGTCCTGGCATGCCACTTGCTATTAGAATGTTGCACACAATGTTGGGATCATTGATTAACTTTTTTGATTGGAAACTTGAAAATGGAGTTATGGATATTGATCAACACTTGAGAGCTATTCCCTCTAGAGTAAACAAGGTGGAACATACAAAATGAGATATAGTATGTTTCTATTTGCATAAGGCACAAAACAAAAAGACTAGTGTGCCATGTTGTGAATTTAATATGTTGTTTTATTTCTGGTACTTTAACTTAAGTTACTTTAAGTTGTACGCCTATAATAATTTAGAGAAAAGCAATATGTGCTTTTGTTAGTGCATCTTCAACACTTAGTTTAAGTTGCTTATATTTCTTTGTTGTTGAAGTTGTCACAATTGACAATTGTGATTGTTTAAGTTGAAGCCATGTACCTTATGTAAGAACCCTAAAACAACGTTGTTTTGTTATTTAATAACAGATTTTCACCTTCATTCTGATATCATTTAAATAAAAATATGTTTATAAGATAATTAAATCTGTTTGCATAAAGAAAAAAGAAATCGAGGCAAGACACAATCCATAGAGTATAGAAGGGAATTGATAGTAGAAAAAGAAGAAGACTAAAAGCATGGAAAATGTGTAGGTTGAAGGGAAAAGAATTAGAGCAACACCATTCATCATTGCATGCTCACTTTTCCACACTTACATTAATTGGTCAAACTAAGTTGGTTGGCACGACGTCTATGTTGTTGGTCATAGGATGGAGCACTCACATTATTCTTTTTGTTGGATAGTATAATTTGTGTTGTGGAAGAATGTTTGGAAAGTAATCAAATAAATTGATTTCTATAAATGAAATGTTTTTTTTTATTTTTAAATATGTGCAATTTCAATAGACAATAAACTAACTCTTGGGCACAATAATAATATTAAAAAAATTAAATAGCATAAACATCAAATTTGTAATGTAGAAAGTGTTTCTTAAATTGAAAGGTTACCAAGGTTAAAAGTCTTCCATTTAATAATGGATACACAAAAATCATAGTAATATTACAAAATTACAGTTTTCATCAATATAGAATAAATGAGAGAAATACACACCTAACAAGACTTCACAAGTGTGAATATATTGAAACAACTATAAAAAAAAATTAAACCTACTCTATAAATACATGTTATTCTTTATGTCTCACAATATCTATCCACTTTCTTACTTTTACTTGTCTTAAATAATTTGTCCTTTAAAATAGCAATGTAATATTTATTATTTATTTCTACTAATTTATTTTTATTAATTATATTTTAATTCATATAAATATTATACTATTTATTATTAATAAAGTTATTTTAATAAATAAAATTCATTTTATCATTAAAATTAATATAATTAATCATTATTTAAAAAAGTATGAAAATTTTAAAGAAGACACTTATTATAAGATGGAGGAAGTACTAGCTAAGGAAGAATATCACATCATGTTGAATTTGTAACTTAATCTTATAATTTTTTTTGACAAATCCTGATAAAATTTATTAAACACTCATCTTTTATTCCGAATCAATTTTCTTTTATTCTCTCATGTATGTGTGACTTTTTTCTTCTTTTGGGTTGCTTATTTTTCTTTCTTGTGTTGTCTTTTTGTTGGTTTGTCTTTTATATTAAAGATTCCAAAAGTCTGTAAAACCATGAAAACAAAACATGTGAGCGTGACCCACTAAATTCAAACAAAACTTTTCTTTAGTAAATAAATAATGGTCCCACTTTAAAGTGCTTCTGCCCTATTAAAAATGATAAAAATAACAACAATAATATGTTTAAGTGAGACCCAAACTATACTAGGAATAAAATAGATAATAAAATTTAATATTCATTCGATGATTTTAAGGATTGATTCTATTTGAAAGATTTTTTTAATGTAAATTGAATATATAAAAGAAAAGGCAATAAAAAATCCTACATACGGAAAGAGTACAAGATAATTACAAGTTGTATCTAAAATAATAGAAAAATATAAAAAGCGAAAAAAAACAAAAACAAATATATTAAAGAAAGTTAAAAGAAGATTGAATCACACAACCAACACAACAATATAAGATATTATTTGATAGTTGAATCAGAGATCAGTTAAAGGTCAAATTGATTAAGGTTTAATCTATCTCAAATTTATTTTACTTAATTTAAAATATAAAATAATTTATATATTATGAGAAAAATACATAATTTTTAATATTTAATTTCATTATATTTATTTTGAATCTTAAATTGATTTGGCGTTGGAGGACTAAAAATACAGGTTTATCCTGCATCACCGTAACATATATTAGAGTCATCGTTCAAGATCAATAATTATCCAATTCTCTTTATTTCTGGTTCCTTCATAGAGCTAGAGCATCCAGTTCTGGTTCCCAAACGAAACAGTGGCACCATCTGTGGGAAGTGACGCATAATTCCCACTATTTTTCATCTTTAAGTTAATCTTGATCTGAAACCAGATCGATAACCGCCACAAGAAAAGGAAAGACGTTAATTTCGATAGTTATGGATGAAATCTTCAATGCATTCCCTGAATCGGCTGTTTACCGGGTGTTACCGATTGAGAAATTCCACGATATCGCATCCTCTAGCACCCATCCTTCATCATATCACTCCATACTTGTAATTGACGCTGACGTATGACAAAGAGTAGGTCGATTGAAACTAGGATTTCTAAATCGTGATAAGATAAATGAAACTCCAAACACTGGTCCTCCTATGATTCCTGCGATCACCATAGATGATCTCAATCAAACCGGATTCCTCGTGGACGATAGAAGTTTATGTAACATCCTTTATTCAAATACGATGGATCATATAGGAATCCAGCAAGTGGATCTGAATCTATATGGCAGAGGAGGTATACTAGCATTCAACGATTTGATCACGTGTCCTCAGGGTGTCGTGGATCTGGCATTGACTGTTAGAGAGGGAGATCACAAAAGAAAAGTGATCCTTAATTTTGTGATAATGTCGTGTTGGAGTGCCATCAGAGGTATCCTAGGGAGATCCTTCCTACCAGACTAGATGTAGAAGCGTCTCCGACCCATTTGAAAGTGACATATCACAACACAGAAGGAATACCGATCTTGACGTCTGCCAATATGGATGGAGGTAAAAAGATTAAAAATTATCCAAAGATATCTCTTGGTGTCGGTCATAACCTCGAAAGTGTAAGTAGTAGGAGAGCGAAGAATACCGAGCGTTAGACCAAGACTCTTGTGAATATGAGGTTCGGCAGGTTCTAGATGGTGATTTCGAGTCCGTTCAACTCGGGGAAGACCCTACCAGCCGCCAGGTCAGTTAAAATAGGCTTCATACTTCTTTTAGGAGTAAGAGCCATGCTAATTGAATTCCTCTAAGATAACATAAACCTTTTCGTAGTAACCTGCATGAGATGCCTGATATTGATCCTAGCGCAGCGTGCCACCTGTTGAATATGGACACCAAAGCTCATTACATATCCCAACGTCGGAGGAGACAATCACTAAAAAAGTATGAGGCCACTACTAGCACGATTAAGGGCCTATTGGACGCCCGATTTATTTATAAGGCCAAATATATGTGTTGGTGAATAAAGCCCCAGGGAAATAGACGATGTGGGTTGACTAAACATATCTTAATAGGGCTTTACCAAAATATTCTTATTTGCTCTCAAACATTGATAAATTAGTGGATAATTCTGCAGGGTAACAATTACTTTTATTCATCGACGTTTATTCAAGGTATAATTAGACACTTATGTTTGGACATGACCGAATAAAGACCGCCTTTATGATCGAGAAAGAATGTCATAAATACAATGTCATTCCATTTAGATTAAATAATGACAGCGCGAGCTACCAAAGAATGATGAACAAGATCTTCCAAGAAGAGATAGGGGAGACGCTGGAAGTGTACATGGATAATATGATCGTAAAATCTAGCCAAGAGGATCTTTATGCCCAACACCTTCAACGGGTATTAAAGATTGTCCGACAATATAATATGCGCCTCAACCTAGAAAAATATACTTTTGGGGTGAAGGCCAAAAAAATTATCGGGTTTCTATTTGACTGAGCGAGAGATCGAAGAAAACCTAAACAAATGTGTGAAGGAAAATCGTGATTCAAAATGAAGCGGATTTAAAAAAATTTCCTTTAATGATCCTTACGAATGAGCATGATCAGTGATATAAACGTTTACTTCTTATGGTGATTGAAACCTTTGATGCAAAAACTGGAAGATTAATTTCGAGCATTGATGAAGAACAACGCCTCTACTCAGTCCACACGAACAGAAACTTTTTAGTCCCAATGCTAGCTTCTACGAATGAAGACTTTGAGTGAGAAAGAAAGAGATAAATTACAGCCAGAGTTTCACAAACCGAATTTCATCAACGGACAAAGGTTATGCACAAGGGTTATTGTTGTACCCCAAAATTTTCCCTCCCATATTTCTCCAAACATTTCAAGAAAGATCTTCAAATTGCTCAAGGAAGTCCAAAGGTTGACCAGACAAGCTCTCTCCTAAGGCAGTCTAACTCAAATTAGAGTTTCATGTTGCATCAAGATAATTGAGTCCAAGGGATCCGAAATTCTCACCAATGCCCTAATATGTTATCAATATCATCCATGTCAAGTTTCAAGCCTTGCAGAGGAAGTTCGCTCAATCAATGGCTCAAAGGCCTGAAAATCTACTGTGCTAGGGCAAAAGTCAATTGTGGCCCACATACAGTCAAACTCCAAGATTTTTGGTCAACATCCTCATTTTGAATTATATTTCATCATTTGATCAAGGGTTGATCATGATTCATCAAGTATTGCTCATAATTCATCAAGAACCAAAAGTTGCTAAATTAGGGTTTTGCAAGAGAAGTCAACTCAACTTTGACCAAGCATAACTTTCTCATACTTTATGAGAAATGGCCCATCCAAATCTCATTTTGAATAGGATGCCATGCTATACAATCCATATTCAGATCCCAAGTTAAAAATATTCACTTACAAGAAGTTATGAATTTGGACATTATAGGTCATTTTGGAAAGTCAACAAAAACACCTTTTTTGTCAAAGCTTTATACATGAGCATGGAATATAAAATTGAGATGGTACCAAAAGGGTTGCTTAGAGGACATCTCAAGCTTTCTAAAAAGTCCAAGAAC